TAAAGCTTTGTGATACCCAGCAGTGTATTAGGATAGCATCTTTAAAACAAAATAAAGCTGAAAGAACAACGTATGATCTGCATTCTTTGGAAATGACATTATAGAATGACCAGCCTTCTCTGTCCTGTCCCCTACTCCCTTTCATGCCTTAAAGCCCGTCCTGGCTTGCTGGCAGTAAGTGTAATTCAGCTGAATTTAGCCCTGCATGGGCTTGATCATATATCTAGCATCCAAAACTGTCTTCTTGGATGTTTGTTAAGTGGATGAATAGTACTATGAAACCAAGAATCAGTAATCTTCTGCTAGAGATACATCTCAAACAAATTCAAACTATACAAATAACTTCAAAAGGACAATGCTGTCATGTTTAGCCTTGCACTGATTATTTAGCCACCTTCCACCATTCTGCTGCAGTGGAAGGAGGGAAATCAATCAGATTATTACGGACAGGGCTGTCTTGATCTGAAATGCATGGTCTCATACGGCCAGGTAAGTCCAGATCACTTTTGCAGTGAGACTACAATGTTACACCTGCAAACTCAGCAGAAGACAGCAAGATTTGTAACCTGCAAAGTACTTAGAGAAAGTTGGAACTTCTCATAATAAATATGAATAAAAAACCCCCATTATTTTCTAAAGTACCAAGTGCTTTTCCATCTCAAAGTGTACCGTTCTTTCCCAGTCTGTGTAGAGAAGATGGTGCTGCAGTTGGCCGCTTCTGGAAGGAAACAAGACAGTAAATAATCCCTCAGGATCCAGCTGACGGGCTTCTGGATAAATGCATGCCTGCCTCATTGAAAGTAGGTCCCAGCAACACACTCTGTGCAACCTTCTGATTCCAGCTCATGTATAAATGCTAAAAGCTCCATCTTCCCTAAGACGTGACATATTTATTAATTAGATATAAATATGATGTTTCTGATACAGAGTCATTGACAGGTAATAAATGATGTCAGTTGGCATCAACTTCCTACAGTGCTATGCCTCCCTTATCTGAAGCAGCTCTCCAACTGTGTTGTATGGCTGCTAAACAGGATTCCTCCTCAAAAAGGTTTTCTTCAAATATTTGTTTGGGACAAGCCTACAAAGGTATAAAGCATCTGCAAAACCTCCAGGGATTTCCAAAGCAGGGTTGGACCTCAGGCTTGTGGAACCTTCTCTTTAAAACAAATCAAAGGAAAAAAAAGAAAAGAAAAAAATGAACAACTGTCAGTACACTGTGGACCTTATAATTATCTTAAGCAGTAAATTTCTGCTTCCCCTGAGGTGCATCATAATGTGTATTTAATGATATCCTCCTTTTCCCTATATCCCTAGCTGTTTTATATACTATAAATTATGGATGAGCTTCTGTTTATATATGCAATCTTTTAGCTGTAGAATAAAGACCACTAATACAGCACTTAGAACACATCAGGATGCCTGCACTCCGTCAATGTTTAAATGGGTATAATATGCCAACTGGTTGTTTGCTCTCATTGGTGGTGATATATGGGAGGGAAATGGACTGAGAGAGCAGAGGAGCATCCGCCCATTGCTCTAAGCTCCTCCTATTCCAACATTGTACAGCCTTTGCTTATTGGTAATGAGAAACAGATGGTGCCATCCATCTCTTTTTATGAGATGGGGAAATAAAATATTCAGCCTTGTATCACTCTTTTTAGCATAGGCAAGGGATCTCAAAGAAATCTAAAAGGAAAAAAAGGAAAATACAGTATCTGTAGCTACTGCCACACCATAGTACTGCAGTTAAACAATCAATAATCTATTTCAGGGAGATACTCTGTGTGTGTTCCTTAATATGAAGATGAATAGATTTTGCTCCAATCAAGCAGGTCTCATGCAGTTGGTCTCTTGGCACTGTGCTGTCCTCAGCTTACACATCTCAAGTTCTCTGCATACAGCATTTACTTCGCGCTACAAAGAGGCATGAGCTGGGAGGTAATGGAGGGCTTCCAGAGCCCACTAGAAGTTTCTGGCTGATATGGATGAGCTACACACAAATAGCTCCGATTAAAAGAAAAATTGCTTGGCAGGTATAACCACACAGTTATATCTGGGATTATTACAGCTCCCCCACATACTGCAAGCAAGTGACTTTGGTAATAAAATGCAATGCAATAATAAACATGGGTTTCTAAAGGTCAGTGTTATAGCATGCAACTGCCCTAAGTAACTGAATGTTACTAGCTTTATTGTGCTAGCGAAACTGCATGTATTATCTTCTACACAGAAGACAAATAAAAATATTTGTTCTAAGATAAATTTCCAGTTTTAAATTATGAAATCCTAACTGCCTTAAGATTTGCTATCCTTACCTCCCTTTCCTCTGCCTGTCTGTCTTTCTGTTAATCATGTTTCTTCTTCCCTTTTATTTAATCTATCCTGCTTCTGCTTGCTTCAAGTACTAAGTTGTTTGCCAGGTAACAAAGTCTTAAACAGAGGAAGCTCTACTTAAATAATCCTTATTGGGAAACAGGTTCACATACGTAACTCTAACCCAGTAATAGTCAACTTGGGTAGCTTTGACAGAAAAAAATGCACTTTTATTTTGCTTCCCTTGAGGTTGTTGTGGCCACATAGTCTGTCTACAAAAACCTTGGTTATACTAGGAACGTCTGCCCTAATAAATCTGTTGCAAGAGCCCCCGTGTTAGCTGTGGCATGTACTAGTAAGAAAGGGTTTTTATCGTTACAGGCAGATCTCTGCTCAAACTAAGCCAACACACACAGCTCAATGGTAGGATGTGTACACAATTCGAGAGTTTGGGTTTTTTTGGTCAACATACTGTCATCAGTTAGGAAGTACGAAAACTTCACTTATTGCAGTGGAGCCCATGAAGGTTTGCTGTTACGAGCCTGGACTCAAGAGTTCCAAAATCCACCTGGGAGGGAGTAAGGAGCTTTGCCTGCAAAGGGCATATGGCCATAGGGCCTCTCTGCCAGCTTCCATAGAAGCTAGGTTTTGTTCTGGAAAGAAAAAAATATTGTAATTCTTTTGGCAGAAAAGGTAACTTTCTCAAATGATATACAGAGAAGAAACTGATGCAGTTTAGTCCTCCAAATCTGCTGACAGATGCATACTTACCATTTGTAACTGGATGAAAACAAAGTTCAATGGAAGGCAAGCTCAGGAAAAGGAATTTGGGTTGTTCCACCGCTGCTGATGAGAATCAAGGTGGCTGTAACTGCTCTACGTTTGCTCTGCACCAATTGCCTTTCAGTACGCTTTCCAGTAGACCCTTTGTTAGAGCTTCTATGACTTCATTTCTGTTAGCCTAATAGGCTAACATAACTGCAACTATGTTAGCTACGGGAGCAACTGGAGCTATGCTATCTTTCCAAGGGTGTCTGGTTATACTAAGAAAATTCTCCTCTATTCAAAGCAAAGCAAAAATAAAAGTCATGCGCACTTCAAAGGACAAAAGAAAACAATAAAACAACCCTAGCAAAGCAAAAGGCAGAAATGACTTTATGGGAGGGGTGAGAGAATCCAGACCAGATGGCCAAATTCATTCGTGTTTCTTAACGCACTATGGGAAGACAATTGGACCAAACGGTGACAAATGTGGTGAAAGACCCTGTAAAGAGGTAGAAAGTCCTTATAAAGCACTGTACACATCTGGATCTCTAGTACTGACTGATGGCTGCAGAAGCTTTGAAGCTGTTTGTTGCGGCTTTTCTCACCTGAGCGTGACATTTCTGCTACTCCAGTATTTTCCACAAAGTCTACTATTTCTCAAACCAATGAGCCTCCCTCTGGTGAAAATTTGGGACTCAAACTTGTTACTTCAGAACAGAATTTCAAAATGTGTTGCGTTCAAGCTTAACTCTCCAAATGCAGAAGAACAACAGGCTTCTGGTGTAATAACTGAGGATTTGAACAGCATGCTCCTTAGGTCCTGTCCTTAAACTCCAGAAAGAAAACTCAGTTGAGTCAGACACAAAATTAACCCTCCCTCTCCTGGCTCTTATGTTCCACAAGCAAGTTGTCTAGGAGCTACAGAGCAAAGTGCTTAAACACGCTCACCCTGACTTGTGATCACTTGGTTAACAAGCAGCAGCTTAAAGGTATTACTCATTCAATTTGGAAATAGGTGGCGGACGAGAATGTGAGTCTACATCTCAGCAATTCTGGCCCACAGTCTTATATTCTGGCATAAATCTATTTTCACTGGTAGTGTAAGCTAGTAAACTTAGCTGGGAACTAGGGCACAGTACACGTTCAATTTTGGTGGCTCTGCTCAGTGGGGGAGAGGTAGTTACTTGGGCAGTAGCAGGACACTTGGGAGCAGCAGCTTAAACCACTGTATCAAAATGCACTGGAACTCATCTGTCACTGTCCTCACTCTCTGATTGTGAAACAGCCTGTCCAAGCCTATAGCTTATTTTCACTTCTTTTCCCTCGCTGCTCTTCTTAAAATGTTACTAATGCAGCTTGTCAGATTTTCTTCAGCTTTATAGCAGGAGCTAAAGGCATTGTGCTGAGAAGTAAGTGAAAGAAGGAGGAAATACTCTTTAGTGTAAGACATAAATGGTGCTCTACAGTTGGGTTTACTTTTTTGTTGTTGTTGGTGGCTGTTTTCTTTAAGATGGCTAAGGAGAAAAAATTACAGAAATCTAACACTGTACAAAAGGAAGTATTACATTCAGCAAAAATCCAAATAAAAGCTAAGTGAGCATAAAAACTGTTTTAAGGAACAAACACTCAGGCATTGAGTCCTGTTAGCATTCAAATCAAGCAGCAAGATTGCTCATATCACAAACTTAGTCCTCCCCAACACACTCACCAATACAACACAATGTCTGTGATGTACTTCCATGGCCCATGATGTGCTAGGAAAGCATGCAACTGAGCAACAGTTTGCCCAGAAACATGTTTAATGCTTGTTCTCTGCAAGTAGCTACATACCATTCCATGCAGTCAATATACTTATCCATGGTTTCAGTCTTCCAGTTTTGTGCAGCAGAAAACATCAATAGTTGTGCTAAGTCACTCACCCACAATGTGTAGGACCCCCTGCGGCTCCCTGGAAAAGTCAGCATACTCTGATCTGAGACAGCAACAGACGCCAGGCCACTGCTCCTGGATGGTGGCCATTCAAAGTCAGCCTCAGCCTGTTCAGGTTTGCTTTTCTGCTTCTTTATAATCTGTAAGGTAGGGGGACAGGGGATGGGCAGGGAGAAAAAAAAGTGCTTGGAAAATACTGTCTGAGCTGTATGGAGAAAAACTACATTAACCCTCTCTCAAGGCAAACTGCCTAGGAAGAACATTTGAGTTTCCCTTTGCTTTTGCTCCAGTTCATGCAAGGATGATTCTGACAACTTGCATGCATTTCTTCTCATCTGAAGTCATACTGCTTGCAAGCGCATAAGCATCGATACAATAAATCATAATCAATGCCTGTAGGAACATCAGAGGTGAATTAAATAAACATGGAAACCTGTTCCTACAGTAACACTTTAAACATTAGCACCATCTAAGTGTCAAGTATTTTCTCAGACAAGAGTTTTTGCAAAGAAGCATAAAATACTAGATATGAGGGGAATTTCAAAGGTTCCCATGACATCTAGACACATTTCTACCGAAAACAACGAAGTCTTAGGTATCTAGGCACTATTTTTGTTTTTGAAAATCTACACCGTCTTAAGAGAGAGAGAGATCATATAGACTACATGTCTCCCTACACTGACAGATTATATCCTGCTACACTTCATTTCCACAACTCTTCTGACTCCAATTTAAAATATCTACAGAATATTATCCTATGGCATAAAAGATCTTGTTAGGCAGCTTTTGACAAAAATGGCAGCAATTCAACCTTGGCTGAGATAGGCTCTGGACTATCAAAGATCCGATAAGCAGAATTAATCCTCTAACATCCCTATTAAAAAAAGAAGGCAGATTATTTTCCATTGAGCTGCTTCTTTTCTGGCTTTTCTTGATAGCCTTATAAACAACATGTTCCTCTTCTGGTGTGTGATCCATACATTGTTAAATGCCACATCCCATACACAGATGTGGCAATTAGCTTAATTCACATGGAGGGAGACTAACTTAGCAGAGTGGTTACTTTACTGAGCACGGGAGCTCAGCAGCACTCTGTTCATGCTCGTCTTGCCTTGCTCCAGACTGTCCAGACAAACTCAAGGGGTATTTTCTCCATTTCTGTGCTGCGTCAGTGCCAACTGCAAGCTTTGCAGGGAGAAGAATGAGCTTTCCAGAAAAAGCCACGTAAATCAGACACACAGAGGGTTCTGTGATTTTTGGGTGTCTGTCTCAGCATCTTTAACAGAATTCTATTTTAGTAATCGATGTTTTCTTTGTATGTGTTGCAGATGCAGGGTTCAGTAGAGTTGGTAGGGTTCAGTAGAGTTGGTATGGTCAAGAGCCACACTTCTTTACATCGGAAAACTTTGTGCCTTTTGGGAAATGAAGTACAGATGTAAAATTCCATCGAACAGGGGCCTCCTCTTCCAAGCAAGGATATCACAGACCTGAGGGAGTGGTACCTTTCAGCTCTGAGGGTGTAGGCCATCAGTTTAAGCACTGGATTAAGCTTATTTATAAAAATTGATCTGTCAGATGTAGCTGATTAAGCCTGTACTGTGATAGTTGAAGTTGCAACTTGTCATTTACTCTACTTTCTATGCTGGTGTCATCCTTTTTGCTGTTAGCTGAGTCAAAGCTCACCAGACTAAAGGATTGTGTTTTGGCTGTTAAACAAGCTAGGGAAAAAATGCATGCCATACCTTCTGCACAATGGTTGTGGCCAGCTCTTCTATGAGGTCCTCCTTGTGTTCCTGCAAGTAACAAGCCTCGTTCTGCTTGTCCTGCATGAAAATGGATATCTGTAGTTGCTAAAATCACATAAAACCAGCCTTTCCACAGAAATGGTATAGATCAGGAAATGGGTAATATGCCCTACTGGCACCGTGGGAAGAAATTACAGGTACTTACACTGCATGTCACCTTCTGAAATGCAACATGCGTCTTGGATACAAGTTCATAAAACCCACACCCAACTCTTTAGGTATGGCATGAGATAGTCACTACGTCTTTATGTTTTCTTTTGTATCTACTTGTTTTTGTACCACTACCCAAATTAAAAGAAGAATAATTGTTCGGTTTAAATTAATACATATTTTTTGGAAAATGTTACCAGGCTGTCACTGTAGGTCTCTGCCTTAGAAATAGCTTCTTCCACTGCTTCCTCTGCAACACGTAAGGCCACAGCAAGGGTATCCATCATGCTGTGTCCTAGGTGAAGAATAAGAAAAACCACCACGTTCTTTATGTATGTACATTTTGCATAACGAGCTCCAAAATTCAGACTCATATTCTGGACATATATTCAAATCTTAGGTTGTTCATGACAAAGTTCATTTCTGCAATCCATAATTATGCACAGTAAAATAAACATCTTAAGACAAAGAAATTTGTCTCAATCTCTGTGTTACTTCTTAAATGTAAATATTAAATACAATAAAACAGTATTTTTATGTTGCTTATTTTCGAATCCAGCAAAATAGTTAGGAGGAAAATATAGGAAGAAAATTTGTAAACTTCCTATAAACACCAAGAGAATACAAGAAAGAGAATGAAAAAAATATATGAGCAGAGGAAAGGAACTGGGAGAGAAGTAACAGACACTGAACATTAAGAAAATCACACTAGAATAAGTGGGTATTAGCTATAATACCGAAGCAAGATATCTCAGCATGGTACAGAAAGGATTTTTAGTATCTTGCTAAATTTCCGCTAAAAGATTGTTGGATCTGTGAACAAGACTTACCAGCACTCTAGGCTATTTGTCCAGTAATTCAAAGTGTAAGGACTGTGTTTTAATCAAACGAGTTTTTAGCAGCATACCTTCTGTCTGTCGGTAGAATGTAGAGTCACTCCCACAAATGCTTCCTTCATTTTCAAAGCTTCCTTCAAAAAAACCTCCTTCTGCTCAAAAAAGACGGTACCGTGCATTAGTATAAGAAGTACACATTGTCAGCAGAGGCATTATTAGATTTGAATATTCACTCAAGATACGGTGGCACCGCACACAAAGAGGGATAACCAGAAAATTCCTCCTACCTTTGGTATAAACCACGACTGCAGCAGCTTTTGTACAAAACATGACTGCTTTTATACAAAAGACCTCTCATTCATTTTGGATGGAGAAAACTATTCGTACAGTAAACGAGAGAGAGAGAGAGGAAGAAGCTACTAGGTATAAAACTTACATGGTAAAAGTTAAATATAGGGAATTTGCCTTTAATATGACATTTGGGGTTGAAATAGATTCTACATTTTAAAGGGCAATGCTGCATAAATAAGCCAAAACCCAGACGCGTATACTAGTATTTATCTTCAAAGGGAACAAAAGGTTTACCTAACAGTCACATGGAGAGTGGAAGACAGTTAGCAATGACATTTAGACTCAAAGGCCTTCCTTAGAAAGGTCTCACAGAGAGTGCACATGCCACTGCAACTCGTCATTGCATTGTTCACACTTCCATTCAAGGACAAATTCAGTGAGACTACGGCTTAAGCAAAGGCAACACATAATAGTAAAGTTCTGAAGGATCCATCCCCACAGTTTTTAATTCCATTGTCTCACTTCTGCCCTCACTGACAGATTTTCTTGTCTTCATACATATTTGTTCTCAACTGCTAAGGAATCTTCTCTAGAAAAATGAATTGGATACAGGGAAAGCAGAGAGACTAATAAATCAGAATTTAATGCATAGGTCACTTCTCCCTAGAAGCTTTTATAGCATTATTCATAAGAAACACCTAAAATTTTCACTCAGGACTAGGGAGTCCACTTACCATCCTATATAATCTCAGAAAAATACAAAGTAAAGACTATAGGAAAATTACATTCTCTGTACAAATTTCAAAAGAATTACCTTAGGAAAGTATCTGGTCCAATAAATCCAATGAAATTTCAAACATTCTGCTAGCTGTGTTTTGAGTAATTTGCTAAAGTTACCAGTATGTCACCAAACGCCACTTCTGCTAACCCATTTTATATCTTCAATTACTCTTCTTATGGGGCGATGCATTGTAACACCATGGTTAAGGGAGAATTGTGTCTTTTCATTTAAAAGGGTGACACCAATACTTAATCAGCATCTTTTAACCATTTACAAACATCAATACAAAAATAAGATGTGGCCAGTGTCAGATCCTTTAGCATGCAAAACTAAGTGAGGACAATCTAAGTTTTGGTCAACTTGGATACTGAACGTATCCCATGTTAACCAAATTTTGCTTCAAACACCATGGAAATGTGCTCCAAGGCCAAACGTTGAATGCAAAATTATTTTCTTATTCATTGACTACTCAGAACTGTGATAAATTCTGGAACACAGACTAGAATACAAACTGCAATTTATGGACTGAAGATAACAGTTCTTCTGTATCACTGGCATAATTAAGATTAAACATTCTTTGAATTCTTAAACAGCTCTCTAGACACTTAATCTCTTTTTTCTCTCCACGGAAGTATTTCTTTAAAAAAAAAAAACCCAAAACCCTTAAAAAAAAAATCTTTTTTTAAATAAGCTCAGAATTTCCATTGTCTCAGCTTGTGTTAAAGTAGAGGACAATCTAAGTTTTGGTCAACTTGGATACTGAACGTATCCCATGTTAACCAAATTTTGCTTCAAACACCATGGAAATGTGCTCCAAGGCCAAACGTTGAATGCAAAATTATTTTCTTATTCATTGACTACTCAGAACTGTGATAAATTCTGGAACACAGACTAGAATACAAACTGCAATTTATGGACTGAAGATAACAGTTCTTCTGTATCACTGGCATAATTAAGATTAAACATTCTTTGAATTCTTAAACAGCTCTCTAGACACTTAATCTCTTTTTTCTCTCCACGGAAGTATTTCTTTAAAAAAAAAAAAACCAAAACCCTTAAAAAAAAAATCTTTTTTTAAATAAGCTCAGAATTTCCATTGTCTCAGCTTGTGTGTTAAAGTAGGTAAGCTAATAAGAAATCAACACAGCTGTTCTTACCTGTTACATCAGGACAAACTCCGCTCTCCAGTCTATGCTTCTTGTATAAGTTCTTCAGGACTTTGGCACTTCCAAAACACTTAAAGCGGCTTTTGACATTATTATAGTACCAATCCAAAGACTGGGTCCTTAAGAGCCTAAAACAGAAGAATAAACTACATATTGGGAATGATTCTACAACAAATAAATGTAAACAGTTTACCATCCTTTTATGTAAAAAAGGATCTTTTAGGCCTCAGAGCATAAACATATTAATTTCTGAATACTTCTTTACTGTTTGTACTTTGCAAGTGTCTGGTATACTGAGGCAAAAAAAAAAGGTAACTCATGAGCAAATATCTGCTTCACATTATTCAAGGTTTTATTTGGTTTTGCTACTATCAGAAGAGGTGCTCTCCCCTTTTACATTATAACGCCAACACTACAGCCTTTTGAAAAATATAAACAAGCCTTGCAACTGCACAGGAAGGTTTTAAAAATAGCCTTTATTTACACAGATTTACAGATAATGTAAGAACATTAGGCCATTAATGCACCACAAAAAATAACATTTTCATAAAAATATATCACTGCTTTTATTTGGGGAAAGCAATAGAGTAGACAAAGCCTAATTAGAGGACCTCAAAGCAGAATGAGCAAAGAATGGTAGGCAGACAACCTTTTTTTGGGGGGAAAGGACTCACAAATGCAGTTTGGTTTCTTACTTTCAACAGTAAGCATCACTAATGTCAATAATTCATCCTAACGGATTTGTCCCCAGAGCTCATATACTTTTATAAAGCCATGAGATACTGTCAAGCTCTGTATTCTTTTCCACATGGCAGAGGGCTCTTGCTCCACCTGTTACTTCAGTAGTGGGTGGTAGACAACCTGCACCATATTCCCAGGCAACACAACCACAGGTTGCTGCAGGGTAACCCACAGCGGACCCGTACATTTCCTAGTGAAGGCGTCACTGGAGAGGGGGATCCTAGGCACCCAACTATAAATTAAAGCTGACTTACCCAAAAGCCTCCAGGAAGGAGAAATAAGTCTGAGCCAGTGAACATGAACTAATTCCGAGTGTTTGCTTCCCTGTTTGAGCTCATTTGTTCCTTTGTACATTGCCACAATAGTTTATTTTTAATTAATTTACTGTACTTACATTGCAGGAACCAAGATATTTCTATAGAATGTGAAAACATTTCATATAAAAGTGTTTAGTATAGGCTGCAAAAGTAATGTCCCCTTTGTAATAATTATAAAAATTGGAGTCTTGGAACTAGAAGCCCTATGGAGCTTGTTACATAATTAAGCAAAGAGTCTTAACACCAAGATTTAATAATAAAAAAAAAAGGCTAAGGTTAGTGTCCAGTGTCCATATATGAACCCCTAAAGAAATGATGTTACTATCAGGAGTGCTGGACTCTCAGCACTTCCAGACTTGAAGCCATTCAGATGATTTAATTCCGTTTTTTAAACCTGGGGTTGTGGGTGAAAAACAAAATAAAATGAAAGCCCCACTGTAACCTTTAGATTTTCCTTCAGGGACTCTGGACTTTTCTTTATAAAGTGCAAAGCAAGTGACAATCCACAATTTTTGTTTAACACACACCATTTCATAAACAAATAAAGTCTCACCTATTGAGAGGCTAGCAATGTAGTTCTTACTAGGCACTGAACCTCGGCAGATACTCGATAACAAACAAATACACTGAGCCTGGGGTTTCAACTAAATGCTTCCAGTCCGGCTCCAGATTTTTTGAGTTTCAATATATTACTAAAAAGGAATATCCCCTTCATGTAAAGCAGAACATCATGATATAGTCCACTTCTCTGTCACCATTGAAAAGTGTTCAGTAGCAAACACCAGCAGTTGGAAATTAAAAATAAAAATCAATGAAGCCTATCGTATTCAAACTCTGAACTCTTAAAGTTACGTTAGTTGCTCTACTGAAGACAAAAATTGAAGAAAAAGCACATAATGGAACAGAAGCATATTTTTTCTGTATGCTTGTGAGCAATTAGATGCAGGAGAGATGCTTACAGATAATGTGAGTATTAGCCCTTTACTATCTGCTTGCACAGTAATATTCCAAGTCTAACTATAGTTTCCAGGAAGCTGGTAAGTTCCAATATTCACCATTCTACAAATATCACTAACATGTGACAAGGGCAAAAATCCTTTTTTTCTGGAAAATGTCCTTACACACGGTGCACAAATGACTGACGTCTGATGAAGCACAAGTAGCTGGTGATAGAGCACAAGCAATGGGAAGCATGCCTAGGTCGGTCTGTGAAGTACAGGATTTCTAAATTCCTATAATGCTGCCACCAAGAAATCTGTTATGATACCTGTCCAAGTCCTGACCCACTGACCAGGACTTGGCTGCTGGCACAGTGATGAATCTGTGAATGGAGGCAAATTTCTCTCCCAAACCTGCAATTCTTTGGCGTTTCGAGAACCTCCCTTCTTTGTGGGCAGGAACCATTTGCTCTCATGGAAACTGCATCAGAAAGGAACAAACACTACGTCTTCTGCTTGCTGAATTTGATTCACTTTTGTCCACTGAGTTTCTACAGGTGCTGGGAGTGTAAGATTTCAGTCAATAGCACGGAGTCACAATCATTATGATGGATAAAACTAAGTCTGCACAACTGGGTTGGCAGCAGCTTAGCAGGAGGTATTGGCCAGGAAGGATGCTCTTCTGCCCAGTGAACACAGTATTCACCACACTGTCCACAAAATAGCACTATCACTGCTGGTGGACTCACAGCACTGTGAGCCCTCGAATACATTGCTTTAGGGCTTTCAAGACCCCTACCAACTACCTTAGCACGTTTACCAAGCAACCTCAGCTCTACTAGCTCAAAACACTAAACTTGTCATCTTCTTGGAAGCCAGGTAGACCCAGTTCCTAATATTCAGACTGAGTGACAAGGTACCAAAAGCAGAAGTCACCTATCTCATTGTACAAACTGTATGAGTTAAAATAGTCAGTTATGAATGCTGACCTGGCAACTTGGGAAAAACGAGAGATGGGACCCACTGCAAGCCTGCTTTCCCACCTTTTTTCCCATGTTACCATGTTTTTCTGGGTCGATCAATACTGTTTCTGTAAAAACAGAAAGCTAACAGCACTGTTTTTTTAATGAGGTGAGACATTGATTTGCAACTAACAATTTTAGAGACAGGCTTTGTATTTGTAATGATAACATTTTCTGTATGTGAACTTTGGAAGAGTCAAAAGGATAGATTATACATCTCGAAGCAACAATGAAAGAAGAGATGCTTGCCTCTCTGTACTGGCTAATCTGGTGTAAACACAAGGATTAGGATTTTTTTTTAAATTTCCTTGTTGCTGCAGGATTAACACTTTGTGAGTAATCTAATCATCTCATGCTTCTCTCCTGTGTTGGAGAGCTAGGAAGAACTCCAATCTATGCCTCTGTCCTGCACACATTTTATAGCAGATTACAATGCCTCCTCTAAAGCTTTTCAGCCTTTTAACTTTCAAATAAGTCACAATGTCCCTGCTGACTCCTCCTGGGGAGAAAGGATTTGGAGAAGAGAGTAGTTCTCTTATAGATACTAAAATAAAGGACCCACTCAAAAGAGAAATAAGAACATTTTTGCCTTATTTCAAAATCCTTCAATGTTGACCTGTATTTTAAATCTGTATTCTGCAAAAGCTGTCCATGAGTCCAGAATAATGAAAGACTGACAGCGCTAGCATTAATTTGTTAAAATGAAACACTTCCCTTATTACCTCTAATAGAAAGTGTGCAAGTTGTCTCTGTGAAATGAAGGTTCACACTTAAAGGATATTAGTTGTATGCATTTTAAAGAAGCAGGAGTGGTTGAAGCCATTTCTCTCTCTGTGCCATAAAGACTGCTATGTCTTTATTGCTAAATAGCCTTAAATGATAAGGACATTATTTATGTTATATAGTATTGCCATGGAGTTGAGTTGCATTTTGATGTGCTTTTGGCAGAGGGGAATACTGTGATTTTAAAATTCTGCCTTACTAGAAAGTGTGAAAGCTAGGCAGACAGTTTTGGTTTAATAACATTAAAACTTGAACAAGTATTATAAAGCCTCAGTCTTATTTTAGTGCAGCAATGTGTTTGCCTTAAGAGCAACAGATAAGCCATTAAAATCTTTACAAGCAATTTTCAGTACACTTCTCACCTGCAGCACCCAAGTACTCAATTTTTAGCCTTCTGAGAAAAAAAAAAGTATACCAGCTGTGCTGGGGAGTGGGGACATGAACCATCTCTCTCATTATTAGCGATGATTCCAAGAAGTTCACGTGAAAGACTCCACTCACGCATGATGACAAGTATTCATTACTCAATACACAGGAGGTTGTTTAGTGAGTGATTTACCACTTTAATTTTTTTTTTTTCTTCTAAAACGTTGTGAGGTTTTACTTGGTAGAAAGGCAATATGAAGCTTCTGCTATGAATTTTCTCTAAAAGGTAGTACCAACTTAATGTTCATAACCTTAATCTCTATTCATAACGCAAGTTAAACTACAAGGAAGCATTTTATAACAGCAGCATTTTTCCATGAACTTTGTGAGAAGTTTTCTCCCACAAGAACTTGTCACTTTCAGAAACTAGACTGCAGCTCAGTAAGTCAGGAGGTGCTTCTGGAAATCTGAACTTACGTTATTTAAATGTCAGAGTGAATACATAATCACTTGGAGTTTCCTTGCTGTTGACTTGCACTGGAAACTGAAGACTCCTTTTCAGCTTTCCCCTCCTATCTTAGCGCATCTTCCATAGCTTTGTGCCAACAGCCAGGCCAGTAAACTCTTCTAGCCCCTCAATCTGACTCCAAAATCAGAGCCGCAGACTTCACCTGTGCATCAACAACTGTTCGTGCAAATGGTTATACCAAACAATTCATATTTCTGAGCTCACCTCCATATATGTATTACGAAATGTTAGACATGAGTTTCATGCCACCCTGCTAGAGCCTCTTACATTCACTCAAGGCGGAGGCGTCCTCTGGAGCCCCAGCTGCCAGCTGAGCCTCTTGAGGATAATTCCTCTCCCATCATCCATAACCTTTGCCATCTTTCTACCAGAACGATGGGAATCATGCTGTAGGCTAAAAGACACTATCTATTGTCTCCCTGCAGCCCCACT